CGATAGTTCAGCAAAAGATCAAATTTACACATATTTTTTTTTCCCCAAAATGTATTGGGGTTTGCTTTACAGTGGAGCTTCAAGGCTAATGTAGCTAACAAGTACTGAAAGCTTATAACCACCTATTAGCATTGTGCAAACTGCATAATGTACTTGCTTCAAACTGCACAGTCTAGTCGATATATTTACTATTTCTCAGTTTGAGATTCTTATAAGCTTATATAAGATTTTTAAAAACTTATTCCTATACATTTTTTACTTGTTTGAAGTGATTTTAGTAAGTCAAATGATCACACAACATGGCAGATAACTTTCCTTGTTGTAAGAAATACGCTTGAAACAAAAACTAATTTGAAACAAAAAAAATTTTGACTTACTAAAATCACTTAAAACAGGTTAAAAAAGTGGTGAAATAAATTAAACAATCTTATGAACTTCTTATTTCGAAATGAGAAATATTAGATATTTTCACTATATTTAAGATAGTTTCACCTACCAAGATAGATTTGTTTGGAGTAAATATGTTAGGTAACCAATTAATAGATTTAGGTTTCTGGCACTGTAAGACTATAATCAATAAAACTGGACAAAATTCTGACTTGCACCACTACTGTTTTTTAGCTATGCAACCACTTTTGTCCATTTTTATAGAAAACAGCATGACATTTAGTTTCAAAAACCACATTAGCAAGTCACGCTCAGTGTGGTTTGGCATGCATTTTGCATGACACTAATTAGTGTACATAAGCTTCTTGTTAGATACATTTAAACATTTCTTGGCTGACTATACATTTGGGAGGGAGGGAACTTATTTTAATCTGATGTCAGTTTAAAAATGCTTGATTTCACTAGGGGCATGAGTGTCCTTTGAAGTCACTTTATTTTAACTGCATTGCAATTATGCAATTCATCGCCTTATTTCTCCTCAGTAATCCCAATGAGATAAATATTGTTCTTGAGGTACAAAGGTTTTTTTATTCTTTCTTTTTTATTGAGTTGTCAGTGGACCGTGGTTCGTTCACCAATGGAAAAGACCGATATCAGAGATAGTGATGTTCAAAGTAGTCACTAGGTCCAAGGCCACAAATGTGTACTCATGAGGGCAGGTTAACCTTATCGTTTCATCTGCATAGTCTGTAATGACCATTGGCAAAGTAGCAAAACTTTCACTATTGGATACACAACCTGGCACAGCATTGTCTTCAATGAGGCCACACACAAAGCTGTGCATGTGAATCGTACTTTTAACATTGTGGAGGTCATTTTGATGATGGATCTTTATCTTGATGATGGTAGCTGAAAAGAAGTTGAAACACAAATATGTGACTGGGGTCAAGAGGTTATGACCGAAGGTAAAGAATTCTGTCAACTTATTCGCCATAATTCAAGCTTAAACATTATTGTAGAATATTAAATATATTAAATAACTTTGACATGCAGTTGTTTTTCCAAAAAAGGATGTAAATCCATTGTGTCCTCTTCTTGCACAGTAAGAAAATGTCATAAAAAAAGTATTTTTTGAAATTCCTTTGTTTTTTTTTTTTTTTACTATTAAGGAAGGAATGCATACAAGTCAATATAAGTGAAGGCCTGTGACCTTCGACCCCTTAGACAGCACTGCATTAAAAAATGGCATGCTTCTGTGATGGTGTTCATCACATGGGCTCAGGAATACGTTTACAAACTGTTGTCCATGAACACTTCGTTGGTGCATCAACACATGCACATTAAGAGTGTGCAATGCACAGTGGAGGCCATATATTAACAGTGTCCAGAAACGCCACTGACTTCTCTGAGCTCGAGCTCATTTGAAATGGACTGATGCACAGTGGAAACGTAATAATGGAGGTTGGGTTCTTTGGGCCAACGAACATTACCAACAACGAGTTCAAAAGACAGGGTCTATCATTAGATGGGGGATTTTATTGGGTGACTTGCACATTTGTTCACCTGATACAACAGCATGGCTGTGTAATCAGAGAGTGCAGGTGTCTAACACTGAAAGGAACCTGTTGCACAGCTGAAGACTTGTATTACATAAGCAAAAATTCTGCTTCTAAACTAGATCAAGTGGTGGGTTTGGTCCCAAAACCATTGCTGTTAAAAGGAATGGTGATGTAGCACAGTGGTAAACATGCTCCTGTCCCACTTTTTCCAAGCCTGTATATTTTATGAGTATATTTCCAAGAAAAGAAAGTTCATAAATTAAAGCATCAAATATTGTGTTTTTGTACTGTTTTTTCAATTTAATGCAGATCAAACAGAATGTACTGATCACCGCAATCTGTATTAGCAAACAATACAAATAATATTGACAATAAACAGATTTTATGTATGTCAATGTGTTGGTTTAACCATTTCCAAACCTCTCTTTCAGGAAGCCCAATATTGTTCATAGGTATCATCCAATACTGGGTTTGGCTTAACTATTCGCTTACGTTTTGTGCACAATGCTGCATCCTCAACAGCTGACAGTTGGCCATGCTTAAGTCAAATTATTAAAATGGTAAATTTCTGTCTTTAAAAAACTGACTGTAATTTAAGGATTTAAGAATTTTCATAAATCCATCAATGGTAGTTAAGTCCAACAAACGTAGTTAAACATTAGAAGTGTTTTAAAATTTAACTACGTTTTTTATAGTGCTGTATACTCAGTTGCAGTCAGTACAGTATTGCAGTGCATTGTTGCAAAGTACACTGTATTGTCGTCAGTTTGTAATGTAGGTGTAAGTTTAACTCTGGTCATTATACTCTGCCGGATACAGTTGATGAGTCTATATAACCATTACTATACAGAGAACGTGACACACCCATTTGGATTAATGATACCAGAAAGACTGTAATGGAAATGAATGGAATCCAAATGGGACAGATGCCTAGATGTCTCCACAGAAAACATTTGCTTGCTCAAAGGTAAATGACACCCGGTTAAGATTATAAGGGTTTGTACGGTAATGAACAGAGACTACAATAAATATTGATTGCACTCCATAATTCAGAATAATAAATCTGATCTGAATAAATCAGTGTACACAATCTATATACAGGAATAGATCAGAACAATAAAAGATTTAAAACAAATGCCATAAAACGTAGTGTGTCTTCTGTTTATTCAGGCATGGCTTAACTGTCCAAATCATATTCCAGCACAATTCATTCCTTTGAGTTACTGCCCTATTATTATTCCATTTGGCCCGGGATCTGTGTTCTACATTATTTTGACAGTTTTCTTCATGACAAAAGGCCAAAAGAGGCTCATACCAACAGTGTATGTGCCAGAGCCCTTATTGTAACAAGCTAGAGGAACACATTTAAATCACATTTAATGGTCGAAGAATTGAGAGAACAGATTAGTGACTAATCTAATCCTAAGCAGAGTGACTGTTCATATTCAGGTGTACTGCACTTGCATGTAAATAAAACCTGAATGTAATGAGTGAAAAAACATGACAAGTGCAGATGCTTCCATATGGTTGAAGCAATTAACATGCTACCATGGTCTGCAGCATGTGTAGGCCTCAATACTGGATCTAGATGGCAAGAGGAAAAGATCTAAGTGGCTCTGAAAGAGGGTTCATTATTGGGGGACGGATATAGTTTCAGTCAGAAAGAGTGCTAAACTGGCTAGTGTTTGAACAGAAACAGTGACTGAAGTGACACCTGCGTTTAGATTTAAAGTTGACATCAGTTAACACAGCTGGACGTTGTGGTCAAAAACGCACATTCAGTGACCATGACGTAAGAAAAACAGAAGAGCAACTGTTCCTCAGGTAACTGTCAACGCAGGACATAATCAGGCTGTGTCAGCAAGAACAGTTTGTCCAGAGACCAATGACCTTTCATTTATTTATCTAATTTCAGGTAAAAATGGTTATTGATTTCTTTTTTTCAGAAAACACATTTAACAGAAATTTACACAGAAACCTCAACAACTAAATTTAATCCATTTAGTTAATCCATTGCCTTTATTACCTCTTCCCTTCTTTTCAGGAGACCTGCTTTCAGTTTCTCAAGGAAATCTGCTGGGATATTTTTCCACACCTCCAAAGTTCAGTCTTAGAAATTGGTTGCATTTTCTGCCTCTCATGATCCAAGATGCATTCAGTGATGTTGAGGTCAGGATTTCTTTCATTTCGCAACAACAGCTGCTTGATAGCTACACATTCCTTCAGATTCATGCTCAGCTGTTCTCACAGATCTCTCAAAGATGAAAGCTTTAAGTGCTGTTTATCTGATAGGGACAGTTTTAGTGGTCTACCAGGTCTTGCAGGTGTTCGTTAGGAATCCAATTTTCTCAATATCTTTGAATTATTTTTTTGAACTCCATATTTTTAAAGACCTGTTTTCACTTCCCTTGGACTTCCTTATGCAAGTGGCTTATCTTATAGCTAATGTCATCAGAAATATCTCCTGCAAATATTTTTTTTATAGCTGATTATGCTGGAAATTAAATAAATGAAGAGCGGTGTTTTGCACAGAACTGTAAATACAACAAATGAGACACAAGGCAGGACCAGAATTATTCTCCAGTTTCAGATGGGCTTTTGTCATAAATTTAATGTTTCGCAGTTTGGGTGCTATAAACTTTTACACTGACATGCACTTTCATACATGTGCATTTGCAAACTACTAAAGATCCTTCAGCTTGCTGATAAAGTGCTTCTTAAATTCACCTCATTACCTCATTACAGTGTACTTTGTTACTGCACACGCCCTACAGGTTCACTGTGGTTAACTGCGCACACACTGCAGAAGCGTAGCTATGTTCTCCCACTACGGCACACCCTCGCAGTGTAAACATATAGCTCCAAGCCCTCATCCAATCAAAGAGGCTCTGTCAGCATGAACAACAGGCTTGCAAATCAAACACGAATATTTGCTCGTCCCACACAAGCAGCCACTTGTTCTCACACAGTGACTCAAGCCTTCATGCTTTTCTTTTTTCCCCCTTTCCCCAATCCCTGAGAGAAGCTTTGCATGCCGGGATGCCTTGAGGGGGCCGAGATTCACTCTGCGTGAGCTTTACTCAGCCACATCAGCATAAAGATAATGCTGAAGGATAAGGGGGCGTGCTGTCGTTGCTCAGAGCATATAAAGAACGACGTGAGGAAATATCAGCCCACTCTGGTGCTCCCACACTCACTAACCTGCACACTCCTGTCCAGGACTGCAACCTCCTACCACCATGACGTTCAACGGCACATGGAAAGTGGACCGCAATGAGAATTATGAGAAGTTTATGGAACAAATGGGTGAGAAATATACATTCATTTATGAGTATCAACATAAGATTCAAATGGACTGAGGACTTGTACATTTCCATAACTACACTGAAAACAGATGATCTCATTTCTGGGCCACATTGTTTAAGATGTGCAATATGTATTCAGTGCACAGCCTGAATTAACAAAAGAGATTAGGAACATTCTGGAAGCTAAGTTGATCTGGTATAGTTAATAAAAACTGCAGAGCAGTGGTGACCAGTGCTGCTCCTGGAGACCTTCCAGTGGACTTTAGCTCTAACCCTATTTGACCACACCTAGTCCAACTAATTAAGTCTTGGATTAGCTAAAGGAGGTTTGTTAGTTTTGGGTTAGAGATGAAATGTGCAGGAAGGTAAACATCCAGAAGATGGTTTGGTGAACATGCCTGGGAAGTGACAAAAGTCATGCATTGAATTTACAATTTAGTGTGCACATAATTTCAACATGACATTATGTAAATTACTGATAAAAGTGACTGAGAAACAAAACTGTGTGCATGTTAGAGATGGCATGATACCACTTTTTCTTTTCCAATACCAATACTGAAACTTTAAATATCAGACAATACAAATCTCATTATTTTCTTCAAAAACTTCTAAGCTTTAAAATGGGCTGTTTTCATTGGTGCACTTCACTAAAATGAGCATCTAAATGTAGGCTATTTTGCAGACACTGTTCATACACTTTACTACTCCATAGAAGGAAATTCACAGCTAACATCACATAACACAATGTGAGTGTGTGCTGTTTTAGGACAGATTTGTTACAGGATTGGAGTCATTCTATTTGTTTTCCCACCAATATCCAATCCAGTGTTTTATGCTGATATCAGCCGATGCTGATCCCAGTATCAGATCGGTGCCACCTCTAGATATTAATATATTTTATTCAAATGTACTAGGGATGCAATTTTTGGCAAGTTCTTTGACCAATAACCGACCGTTAGCACTCAACGATCAATTGTTAACTGGCAAGCCTAAAACCAAGGATGCGGCCCATCAAAATATCAATATCAATTATAAAACTGTTCTGGTTCTGAAATCTGATTGGCTGAGCTGCTTTCAAGGCCATTTCTGAGCACACAAGTTCTGTATTCTGTATTAACGCACCAAAATATTAAACAGTGTTCCTTGTATGGAACATGGAATGGAACTTAGTATTAATAGGCAGGGCCAAACATAAGCACATATATGAAACAAGATAAAAATATTAAAAAAATGTAAACGTTATTAAAATTAATGGAATTTATGAGGATGGGCTGTTAAAAGTTTTTTAGCATTCTTTACTAACCCAAAATAAAGCATAACATAAATGCCATGACCAAGGCTCAGTGTACCTCAACAGCTCTCGAAAGCTATTGCTATGCCCCACATATTTCTATATAATTTTTCACCAATGTATGTTGCCATGCATCACACCTTCTCTCTGAGAATTTGGGCAAAATGGTCTTAAAACTGAATGAACAAAAGGTCATTATATATAATCCTATGTACATACACATAGAGGTTAACTGCACATTTAGCACTAAAGCAAGTCTGAGACAATGCAGCAGCAACAGTACATATATGACATACATGGCTTGTTGTCATGGTGAAACAGTACAGGTTAATCCTTTGAGACGGATAATTACGTAATTGTTCCTGGGTGAACTGAACGAGTCATCATCTGGGGTGTGTCCAAACAGGCATCAACTTGGTGAAAAGAAAACTTGCAGCTCATGATAACCTGAAGATCACTCTGGAGCAGACCGGCGACAAGTTCCACGTGAAGGAGGTCAGCGCCTTCCGCACACTGGAGCTGGACTTCACCCTCGGGGGCACCTTTGAGTACTCCCTGGCTGATGGCACTGAACTCACTGTAAGCAAACGTTTACAAGCACCTATACACTCACCATCTACTTTATTAGAAACTCCTGCCTGAAACATCCACTCACTGACCGCTTTATGAATTGAGAGGTTTCTAATAAAGTGGCCAGTGAGTGGATGATAATCGAGTACTTTGGCCACTGTGGATGGTTACTTGAAGCAATAGTTTGGCCAAAAATCTATTTTCCCCTTACCTCAAATGCAGTGGAACAGCCAAGACATGTTTTAAGTTTGCTTCTTTAGTTTTGTGCTAGCGATAGGAATGTAGCTCACAAGTTATGCAATCTTCTAGCAGCCAGGTCAGCATTGTGCAAACTGCATGTCTAAAGCCACAGTTACACCAAATGTCAGTAAAGTTTGCCAGGCAAAAAAAGCCAGTTAATTTGAATGGTAAAGGGTGTGGGAATGTGAAAAAGGATTCAGCTTCCAGTAGCTGTTAATTTTGCTTAGTGCTGCATTCAGCAGCTTAAATCATCACACAGCTGCCTTAAAATAGACTTGCTTCTGTTTTCATTTTTATGTATTTAAAATGGACAAAAGAACTAACAAAAATCAGGCTTTAAAATGGTTGCTAGTACTGTTGTTAGCTCTGAAACATTTTTATTTTTTAGACACCAGCAGGTTATTAGCTTCCATTGCTTGTTAGCTACATTAGCCTCATAGCTCCAGTACAAAACTGAAGAAGACCCCAACCAGCAGGAGGAGATACAAGGTTTCTTTACAACAGGGAAGGTGTAAAAATGCTACAAGGTGCTACGAGGCTAACGTAGCTAACAAGCAACTGAAGCATACGTCTGCATGCTTAAGGCCATGATTACATGAAGTAAAATTTGCCAGGAGAAAAAGCCAGTTGACTTGAATGGTAAAGAACATGTAAACGTGAAAAGGGAAGCTTCTGGTACAAAATTATTTCAAAGCAAGTGAAAATGTAATGTGATTGTATATATTGTAAAAATTGCAAAATCCTACAATTGGCATTAGGAGCAGTTTGTGTAAATTAGATTTTTAACCAAAGACGGCTCGAGAGTTAGATTTTAATGAGCTCAGCCATCGGCCTGGTTGTATAACAAGTTCATTCTTGAAGAGGCTAAGACAAAAACATACAGTATATCTGTGCTAATCTGTAAATCTTTTCACCTCACAGTAGGAAAACACTGCTCTCATTGGTGTCATTTCTAGGCAGCTTGAACATCTTTATCACTCACTGCTTTGTTCAATGTTTATTGTGAATGTTAGCTTGACTTTGTGATCACTGAACTCTAAACAGGGTGGCTGGGTCATGGAGGGTGAAATGCTGAAGGGAAACTTCACCCGCAAAGACAACGGAAAAGTACTGATAACCACCAGGCAAATCGTTGGTGACGAACTCATACAGGTAATGGGATCACAGATAGAAATGTTACTAATAACAGGCTATTTCCTGTACTAAATAATAAATGAGCATTCTCACCTTAGCATTCAGAAGTTTCACTGTATTCAGCAATATAACGCCAAATTTTGGGAACACATATAAAATGATTGTATTGTGCACCTTTTAAGACAAATAACAGAGCAACACATTTGTTTGAAAAATACTTTAAATATTCAATCTAAAGCACTTAAAAATGTTTAGCATGTGGTTCACCAAAATGATTGATTATATAAAACATTTCATTTTTTCCACAGAGCTACAGCTATGAAGGTGTGGACGCTCAGAGGATTTTCAAGAGGTCCTAAAATGAAGTGGTTCTGAATCTGGACAAGTTGATCAGAAACACCTCTTTTTTTTGTTTCTCATCAAACTCAAACGTCTCAACCATCTGGATGTTTTCAAACATCACTGTCGGCACTGTTATATACAGCACATCAGTTATATTTTGAACTGTGAATTTTGATATTTAAGAAAATAAAGTCACTTCTGAGATGTATTTTATTATTTCTTTTTCATTTGTAATAAAAGCACAAAAAAAAATTGAACAACAGAAACGGATGGCAGATGAGTAGAAGAAAGATTAACATGACAAACTTATGAATGAGATAAGAAGCTTTGCTATGAATTTGCTATGAATTGAAAGTACTGAATGAAAATGAATTCAAGTACTGGGGGGCAGGAATGGTGAGCATCTCACCCCACACAACGTCAAGTTCCACTGTGAAAACCAGTGATGTCTTTAAGGCTCAGAATTTACATGAATTTCTTTACGGCTCTCACTGTGTAACCTTTGTGGTCACATGGAACTTTCCAAGTATGTATGTCATGTAGGAGCAGGTTTATACCTCATTACAAATTTGACAAGATGACGAGAGGGTTTTAAAGTTATCATGAAAGTTATTAAAGGTAAATAAAGCTGTTTGTTTTATTTCATTGAGGTATTAGGATAAATGGGGTTTTAAAGTTATCATTACAGGTATTAATAGTAAAAGGAGTTTAAGGTTTTTAAATTGAAGTGTTTATTTTTGCTACAAGAAATGAATAATAATAACAATGATAACTTTACTACTATTTCAGCTATTATTCCTACTACTACTATTACTACTACTGCTATCACTAAAGTTACTGCTATTACTATTCTACTATTTCAACAACTACTACTATTACTACTACTACTATTATTGTACTACTACTACTACAACTATTATTCTACTTCAACAACTACTACTACTATTCCACTACTATTCAATTACTACTATTGTTCTACTACTACTATTCTACTACTGCTATTATTGTACTACTACTATTCTATTACTGTTACTATTGTACTACTACTACTTCTACTATTGTACTACTACTACTGCTTTAGTACTATTCTACTACTGCTTCTACTATTGTATTACCACTATTGCTCTACTACTATTCTACTACTTCAGCAACTACTATCACTTTTACAACTGCTACTACAAACATTTACAATTGCTACAAATAACATTTTTGTTACTATTCTACTTGAACAACTACTACTGCTACTACGAATGCTACTGCTACTATTGCTATCCTGCTTTTTCAACAACTACTACTATTCGATTACTACTACCGCTCTGCTACCTCAACAACTACTACTACTAATCCACTACTACTTTACCTACTACTGGTCTACCACTATTCTACTACTTCAACAACTACTACTACTATTCTACTACTGCTGCTATTGTACTACTACAACTCTATTACTGGTCTACTACTATTCTACTACTATAATAACTACTACTACCACCACTTTTACAACTGCTACTACTACTACTCTGCTACTACTACCACCACTTTTGTTACTATTCTACTTCTTCAACAACTTCTACTACTAATGCTACAATTACTACTCTACTCCAACAACTACTACTACTTCTGTGACTACTGTTACCACTGCTACAACCATTGCTTCTATTATTTCACTACTCCTTCTAGTACTAGCACTATTACTACTTCTATCACTACTATTCTACCACTGCTTCTACTATACTACTACTGCTACTACTACTACTACTACTTCTGCTGATAATAATAAATAATAAAGAAAAACAGAGTGCAGATTGCATAAAGAATAGAATGCATTTCAAAATGCAAAATGAAAGTGCAACACTTTGGTCATCAGTTTTCTAAGGAAGTGAACAGCCTCCAGACTATTTGTTTCAACACAACCTCTGAACAGAATTCCACAAAACATGTCTGGGCTTTAGCCCAGGGCAATACCATGTCCAACTGTGTCTAAAGGTGTACAGAAACCACTCCTTTAAAAGCTGGGTCAACACTAGAGGTTTATGAATGTGGAGGCTGAGCCTCCCAGGAGAATTTTTTAATGGGCCCCAAAACATAACATCATAAACATTTAGAACAGCCAGAAAATTGATACGAAAATTGTTATTTGGTCAAACTAGCACACAGCAGAGCTGTATCTTTGTAGTCTGTATTAAGCACAGATCTAGTATGATTTAAACACTGTATCCATGCACTCACAACAGGCACAGATGACCCTAGGGGACTGAACTCAAGCAATGCTATATCTTCTCTAATAGATCAGTTACAAGATCCTAAAAATATAATTCAAATGCACAGATTATAGTTCAGTTCAGTTTTGGTGGAATCATGAAGTGTGATTTTGCTCTGTAGGCATGTTTAATAAGCTAGGTGACAGAATTTTATGGTAATAGTGACATGTTCCCAGTTGAGTTCAATAAAACTCAGTACTTATTTGAAATAAAAGCTTAAACAACTCTCCCTCACTTTCTTCTTGGTCACTAACTTCCATGAGATCTACTACAGTCCTGTCAGTCTCCTTCGGTGTCTTTATCTTCTTCACATTATTCAAGGATTAATGAGTGATCATATTTTTTTTTTTAACTGGTGAAAATCTTCTTACCTAAGTAGCCTTTCAATGGAGCTGCTGCCTCTTAATTTTCATCTACAAATTGAGGAACTGAAGAATATAAAATTGCATTATGATAAACTCCATGTCACCTTTTCACTGACATTAAGTTACTGTAAATAACAATGCATGGCTACTATATCTGATATGATTGGCCTACAACTTATGAGGTCTGATATGACTGGCTTACAACTTATGAGGTCTGATATGACTGGCTTACAACTTATGAGGTCTGATATGATTGGCTGAGCCGGGGGTTCCACCTTTCAAGTTACGTTAGTAAATCTCTGGCAGTACAGCAGAGGCAGCGCTGCGTCAGAGCAGCAGCAGCACCTCCCCCAGGTCACCCTGCTATCACAGTATATTATGTGCTACTCCTGAGCGCAGTTTTAAAATAACACCCAACAAAAACAACAAAAACATGAGCATTCAAATAAAATTTATTAAACAAAGAATAAAAATAAATGCATAGACATCTCCAAAAATAGATAGAGGACATCATTGTACAATATACGTATCGTATGAATTGTCATGCCAATATTCTGCATGACAACTGGCGAGAAGGCACTCCATAAACAACCTATGTAGACGTACAAAGTTCCATTCTGCGATAAAATTATCGCTAAAGAAAAACAATCACCATTCTGGCTTTGACAACGCAAATAAGCTTTGATTCTTTCTTTTCCTCCAAATTTTACCTGTTGAAATTCAATTAAAGCATAGAAATGGCCAGCCATGGTTTGCATGTGATCACTATGAGCCAAAGTGCATACTGCCCTCATGTAAGCGCCTGTTGAAGATAACGCACCTGCACTTGGGCCGAACCACTAAATCTCCTCTGCAACATGTGCGTTCGCAAAATACGTCTTTTCTTTTGGCATCAGGGGTCCAAAAGTGAATTACGTAACAATTCATTCTTTTCCATGATTCTTTGGCCTCAGCTTCGAACTGCATATTTTCCAACAGTACACCAAGGACCTTTAAAAGAGATAAAGAACCCATTATTTGGCAAAACGTGCCAATAGCTTAACCTTAAAATTATTATTACGATTAAAAAAAATAATAATAATAATAACACCTACATGTCCAGTTCAGTTTTTGTGGTTTTAAAGTGAGCATCTCAGTGTACACAACACTTACCTTCACAAATACCCATGCTCGTCAAGTCCCTTTGGAGTTACTGGGTGCCACTTTGCAGTAGACTTATTGCTGCTAGAGCCTGAGAAGGTGGAGAAAATAATCAAAAATAAATTACATAGTTAACAGACATGCATATACCATATACTCTGGAGAACTAGAGAGCTTCAGGACAAAATGCTTAAAAATAAAGCACGACCCCTGATCCATTACTGGCCAAAATGAATAACAGATTACTGATAAGTCTTTCTCAATGAGTTCCTCATCAATGACTGTGAAAATAATCAATAAACAAATGTTGTTAAAATAATTAACTTGCTCAAGGGTGCTAAGATATATCCTATATTAACAGTGACAAAGGTCTATTCGCACCGACTTCACAAAAAAATGCATATCAACACGCATATTAACGCCATCTTGCACACTCAGCTCTAAACTGATGGACTGCAACGCTGCGTGAAATATTTAATCAGAGGCAGCTTGATTTTCTGTATTGTATGGATGTGTTAAATATCAGGCTAACACGTCAGAGCTCCACTGTCATGGTGGCAAAAACCTGCTGGTGTCCTGCAAACAATAGATTGTGCACGCCAGAGTCCAGACCTCAACATGACTGAACATGTTTGGGATTACGTGAATTGTGAGAAGCAGAAAATACAATTTTGAGACTGACCTTTGGAGTTGTGGACAAATATCCCTGCAGATAATATTCCTGAAAGAGGAATAACTTGTACTTAATAGTCATTTTGACTGGAAATTTAACAAATCAAAGGTGGTCTCTGACTTGTGCACAGTACTATATACATAACAGACCATAGCTAAGGCCCAGAAAATGGTGAGAACCTTAGTACAATATGCAGCTGCTTTTTCCTGCGCTCTCTGAGTATTTAAAAAGAACAACACACTTAATATGAAGGTTCAATTACGTTAAATACTGCATGTGTTTTTCCGCCTCCTCTTTCTGCATTTCATGGCTTTGAGTTAACAGCCCAGAACTTCAAGCAAGTGTTGACTTAGTTGGCGTTGGCTTAGTTACCATGTTAGAAATAACAGCTAACTGGCTAGGCAGCTAGCTGAGCAAGCTATCAACAATCATTAGTTAGATAAGCTGGCGATAAGACGCCTCTCTTGTCTACATTTATAATCAATCAGAATGTTTTTGGTCATTTCTTTGGTGTTGCTGTTTAAGTGGGTGATATCAGCAGTGAACCTGGCTCGGGCCTGCTCTTGCCATGCTCCGAGGCAGGCAAGCCATCTGTGTGGGCAGAATGACTGGTTTCGCGGTGATCCGCCCCCCTGCCCCCTCCCCTTTGCTCAGGCACGACCAGCACTAGAGGCCTCTGGTGGTGGTACTTCAGTCTGTACGTGTCCGTCATGCAGTTGTCCACGTTGAAGTATGTAGTGAGTGCCACTCCAGGTCCCTGAGGGACAGAGCTGGAGATGGAGGCACAGGCACGGTCCGAGCCTCGAGGCCTGTCTTCCAGCAGCTCGCTCGGCCCTGCCTCACCCCGCTCCTGGTCTGAGCCAGACTTAGAGCTAACGTCAGATGAGGCCTGCCAGGGGTCTAAACGTCGGTGGTTGGCCGGTCGCGGGCTTGTCTGTGAGGGCTCCTGCAGGAGGCGTGGGCGAAAGGGTGGCGTTCTGCCTTGTTTGGGGCGCGCAGCCAGAGGCGACTCGTCTCGAGCGGGACGTCCCGGGCGGGGTGATTCAGGCAGGGCTGTCTCGCTGGTACTGGAGCGGTAGGCGCTGTCCTCCTGCTCGGATGGAGGATTGGTGGTCTCGTCCGAGCTGTTGCACTCTGAGCTACTCAGCCTGGCCACCCGCCGAACAGCCGGACTCTCGGGAGCCCGAAATGGCACCTCCTGCTGCTCCGGAGCAGTGGGGTCCCGCTCCAAGCCGCTTCCTTTACGTGAGCCACAGGAGGAGTATCTCTGCTTCCGCCTGTAAAGCAGAAAGAGGCTTGTGTGAAAGTACAGCTTATGTGCATGGCTTGCCTGTCAGAACTTTGGAGAAACTTAAAAGGAATAATGTTTGCTTTTCAATGTTCCATTTTGATTAAAAATACCTGCAAAGGTTTTGGAAATGTAACAGCTATTTCCTAATATTTTGGATATATTTTGGAAAACTCAGCTTTACGTTCATCAAGGTTTCATTATTGGTATAAAGATTTATACCAATAATTATTTTAGGTTTTGCCTAAATAATGACTTGACAGTTTTATTCTATTGTTGAAAGTATATGGCCACATTGTATCTCCTTTTTTATCATGTTTTACATTTTCTGTAATTTGGAAACCCCTGTTATTCTTTGCATTGTGTAAAAATCTCATGGTCAATGGACCAACAGACATGGTATAAAATTACTTGGGAAAAGAAGTGGGCTACATTAGCTTCTATTATAAGTTAACAATGTTTTTTCTTTCTCCTATAAAGTTACAACATAGATTTTGCTAAGACAGTGACAATGCATTGAAAAGCTGAGGCTTTGAGTGCTAATGAGTGCATCATCACTAGGGAATAGAATGCATGGGTCATGGATTAAACCCAAGGCAGGAATTTCGTCAGCTGTTCCTTCAGTTTCACAGTTTCTGCATGGCAAGTTTCAAACAAATTTATACTTCATGTTGTGGCAAACTGTCAAAGGAAACATATTTGTTTTTTAAAAAAAAAACATTCTGAAAAAGAAAGTGTCTCCAAACTGATAGCAGTTTCCAAATATCAGGTTTACAATGAAAAGTAACTATATATTTTAATACTGGTCAAATTGTGTTGTAAATTAAAATGCTGCTATTACTCATTGAAAATGGTCTCAATAATTGATGTAAAAAATGTATACCTTGAACTTGGGCTGCCCTTTATGAGATGGTCAGAGTTTCTTCCCTGGACCTTTAACAAATGTTTACCTAAAAGTGAAAATGAGAATCAAGTTTTAATTGACTGAATCAGCACACAGAGCGATGAAAGTGCTGTAGTCCTACAACTTAAACACAAGGTGGCAGTAACAGGATTGGCAATGCCTTTTTAGTATGTGAGCAGCAAACATCCTAACACAATTGCTGAAAGAATAGATTAATAGAGTAATGAAGTAAATATATATATTAGCACAGATTTTTGGTGTTTTTAAATCATGGAATACTAGGTTTGTCTCCCGCTCTCTACACATACATATACACAAACCCCTTTCATGAACACAAAGGACTAAAGGTCAGTGCTAATTTTAGGTAAGTTAACAAGTGACACTGCCAATGGCTCTTTAAATACTTAATGTTTGACTTTTAAGGTCAATCCCTTCAAACACACAGAGCAACATAACACCACTATCACAACTTCCACATTAGTCTTGATCTCAGAGGATTAAAACTGACTGTCCAAAACATTTTAATGATCATCACAAAGCCACATTCAGCTTCAAACTATGACATTTCAAAAAGGCCAAAATGTTGGAGATTGTTGTGTCTATCATTTACGTTTAGATGACAACAATTCATATTTAATTGTAAAACTATATTTATATCATTTACAAAGAATACACATGATTGGGCTGTGGAGCAGGGGAACTGTGTTCCCTAAGGGTGATGGAGCTCCATTCAGCATCACTGACATGAGCTGGAGAGGAGTTTGTGATCCAGAACTAATCATCCAACATCAGTACCTTAAATACCTACTCTTAACTTTAGAAAACATGTTTTCTTAAGCGTTTAAAATCGACAAAAAGTAAATGTCATTCATTAAAGCTTGGCTTATTTTATTTGTGACACTGAACTCTACTACTGAACTAACAGAACCAAAATTTTACAAATATCAAAATTTACAGTTGTCCGTCGAGTAGGGCTGGACCTGAATATTCAGCCATTCCTTCGATGAGTAGGTATTCGGTTTTTAATTTTGAGATTCAGACCCCACAATGTATTTTGTCAGCACATTCTCGTACCATATTTATACTTTTTAATTGCCGTGATGAGCTGTTTAACCTGTGCATGCGCTGAGCCATTACCCCCAGGCAGGGAGGAAGAACAGCAGCTAGCCTGGAAATTCAGATTTTATAGGGGATGAAGCCACGGATGTGCTTCAACACGGGTATGAGACTTCTCAAATGTACTTTCTTGCAAGCAGTTTTAGCTTTTAATCCTAGTTTTCACATTCACAAATTACACATGTAAAAAGGACATTTTTACAAGTAAAAATTAATTTCTTACAAAAGAAAACAGATATATCTACATTTTCTGATTAAGAAACTTTGTTTCTTGATTCAAAGTTTAAAGTATCTTTACCAAACAGTTTACTATTATTTGCAGCACTTCTCCCCTTAACATTTTAAGCTCTATTTCTGAGAATTTTGCTTTTCACTACTTTGGCAGCAACCATAGCTTCACTTGGCATGGGGTTTTCATATGTATGACCTCATTTACACGTCGATTTTGATTGGTCTAGGACACCAGTAAAATACTGCAGTGTTAAAAAGACACTGGTGCACAATTATCACCACAGAGACTTCATAAATCGCTCTTATTTACTCTGCCGCACGTTTTGCATTCATATGAATCTGACCCTAAATTTCTATATCTGTAGTACAAAATCCACTTTCACAAAATGAAAATCACATTACACACATACTATATTTTCTCTTTCTGTATTCTCACATTTATTTATTTATTTTTTGTGGTACTGTGGTACCCCACAGTGTCAGATTTTGAAGAGTGTGTTGTGTTCAAAAGCACTTCTATTTGCCATCTGTTCAACAGACAGCTGATTTTAGTAACATGCTTATCAGCTAATCATCAGACAAATATGCTTATCCACTCACTGACACTTAGACTGACCATAAAAGTACTGAATTTCAATACCCAGTCCTCGTTTTGATAAGAATCTTGTCATCTGTGCGGCCTGGTTATTGCGCTCCTTCAGCTTTTACGGAGAATGAAAACATACTGAATAGCTGAAGAAAGACTCAACTTGGATTTCTGGTAAAGAGACACAGCTTGTAACTCAAATGCAGATTATGCAACGGTAATACTGAGGCTGCGATTTGTATAACTGGCCCCTGAACGCAGTTGCACATTCATTAGCAGACTATGTAGAGACTGTCTCATCTGTGGGCATTTTCTCTGGCCCCATGTTCTACCATAATCTTACTCTTTAGTAAGGGGGTGGAATGGCCTAAAACTGTAAGCAGCTTTTCTCTTTAGAAGCTTTTTCTCTTTTTTTTTGGAAAGTTTTTACTGCATGGAAGGACAGGGACACATTCTTTTTCCTTTTTTTGACGTATGATTCTCATAATGCATGTAAACAGAGGAAAATCATTTGAAAAAACACAGATTTAAAACCTTCTGATGTTGCCAGTTTTGTTGGATTTGAGCATGATGTGTCCATGTCCTCCTTCGGTATACCTCTATTCAATGTCTTGAGAGTATAAAGAAAGTACAACGTAATGAATGCTGAACAAATATCTGGGGATAAACCAGTGGCGCTTTTTAAGCCTGAAACGTATATAAGTGAAAGTTCAGGGGTCAAGCTCTACCTGAGGAGATTTTGTAGCGAAAAACACCTACTATTTACCAGAATGTATTAGTGTAGGATTCATACATTTAACAGGTACTCACTGTGGCACAACGGAGAGCGCACTGCCTCGGTTTTTGACTCACCGCGGGTGTGATGAACTTGACCCCTATGAAGGAGATTTGATATATTCACAACACATAATGCACAACAAAGGCACACAGTGTCAGTGATGTGAAGCATCATTCTTTCATAATATTCCTGTGCTTTTTGTCTGTGGTCATATCCACAGCCATAAAATATTACATTCTGCTTAGGTGAATGTTTCCCTTATTTATGACGCGTTTGTACAGTACTTGTCCACTCAGTTGAAAATCATCACCTCACAAAATCATAACTAGTGGCCACTAAAAGATTTGGACAACCAGAACAAAGTGTATAGTATGTCGATTGGGATGGACCAACGACATCACTGACCGCAGAAACGACACTTGCTCATCAAAGTTGTGCTGATTTGACCTCCTTTAATGATGTGTGAACTGCTCTGGGTCTGATTTATGAAATGCGGAAACTGAGCGCAAATGATTAATCGTCTTCAGTGCGTGAAATCATGCGCCTCATTAACACAGCATTTGCATGAAGCACGGTCTAATTCATGCAGATGTTTCAGCAGGGAGCCAATAAAATGACTGCACTCAGCAGCTTGTGAGCCTATAGCTGCATTATTGTAGTCTATAAGATGCTTCTACACTAGCTGGGTTTTGAATTGTTTATTTGTGGGCAGAGTCAGTGCTATAAAACAGAAGCACAGTGTAACGTGTCTTTAAATCGAACTTGGATTAGTTACAGCATTTGTTTATACCTTTGTGCATGAAAATTAAGTAAATACAATGTGTTTGATGGCCACATTTACAAATTACTATTACTGTTATTTTCCATTTTTATTCTTATCATTAGTATTGAAGATGATAGTGATAATAGTGTTGGTTAATTAACCACAAATCAACCATTTTTTCTATTCTGCTCAAATTAACATGCACTCCTACCAAAAACTATGGTAGGCAAAACTATATGTGAAATTAAGAGCCAATGTTTACTGTTTTCTGTCAGTTTGGGCCTGCACAAAATTCAAGATCAAAAGGCATCAGCAAACTGCAACTGCACTGCACGGTCCAGTAAAGAAAGGTTCCAGTTTTACGGTTTTTGGTACCTGCTCAAGATTGGAACCAACAGGACATAATGGCACTCAGGAGATGGTCATCTCTGTCTTTGGCCCAACTGCAGCTGAATTTACAATCTATTCTGAAAGTTTTCGGAAACTTTGTCTTTCTTCAAACACACAAAAATTGCACCCTAAAATAAATTTAATCAGCATAGGCATTTAGATAGAACACTTATTGTTTAACATCTAGTTAAAATGTTTTAAATGGCTGGTTTAGTTTAGAATACATCATAAATTAAGGTCAGGCATCAACTCGCCTCACAACACTACAAACTGCTGCACTTTCCACGTGGCATTTTAAGATAAAAGAGCAGAAAACTTGCATGTGGGTATACTTTAAAATACCAGACAATAAGAAAAATGCTAAGTGCAAAGCATGCGATACGAGATGAGATATTATTACTTTCCTAAAGTGACATATACAAGTAAATATTATTAGCATTAAGGCTAGGCTCAACAGAATGACTGTTAATGCTCACATTTTCACACTTAACAAAGAAAAATAAAAGCTCTGCTTGACTGCACATTATTTGGTGTGTGAAGTGTGTGACTTTTTTTGCATGTCAGCACAAGCACTGTTAAGCTAACTAGTAAGCAAGTTAGCTAATTAGCGAAATTAGATGCTTTAAACGTGAATGCATAAAATAACAAAGAGACAAGAGACTGTCTAAACGCATCCTCTGCAAGTTGATGCTTTCACTTACCTGAGCTGCTGAGCCTCTGGAGTCACTCGGAGCTCCTTGCCTGCAAAGTTCTCCACGCCTGGCGAGTCAGGATTGGTGGATCCACTGCTCAGCCTATCGCTGCTCTCGTAGCCTGACTCCGTTCTCTGGATCGTCCAATTGTCACCCCTAAGCCCTGCGTTGGCTCCACCTTTGGGCCGTGGTGTGGAGCTGCTCGGTGTGGCCCTGCGCTGGGACTCCTGCGAACTGCGGCTCTCTGTCTCTAGCCGTGACTCGTCCTCATAGATTGTCATCAGGCCTTTCTGCTTGCGCTCTGGCAGCGCCCTCTCCTGTCCGAGGCGCCGGCTGCTAGGGGCAGATATTGCCACTTATTTTTTTTCTCTTATGAATATGAGGCCAGTATGTCAATACTGATACTTGTAAAATTGTACTTGTGCACATAAAAGACTTAAAAAAAACTTTGCATTCTCTGAAAAGTCTTTGCATTAGTCTTAACTAAACTCTACTCAAAGCCTGTATGTGTCTATGTGACAATTGTCAAAGTGTGCTTCTTAAGAAACAATGGGAGTTATTTCTTAAATTACTGGTACTAAATAACAAACTAGTTTATTATTAGGTCCATTGCTATATACCTGGGTAAAGCCTGTATATGTATGTTCCTTTTCTACACATTTATTAGCTAAAATCATTGTTTCACTTTTTTGCATTAAACACAGACTTAGTTATATTGAAACTAAATGAATATATTAAAATGACTGGTTAAAGAAACTTTCTGTACATAATGACTGACATTTAAAAAGACATGTCAAGACCGTACGTCTAGGCTCCTACCGGTTGCAGCGTGGGCTTCCATGCTGTTGCTGCTGTTGTTGTTGCTGTCGGCGCTCTAGCTCGTTCAGCACCCTGTCCACGTTCAGGACTTCCCGCACGGGACGCCATGACGGCTTGGACCTTGCACGGTCGGAGGCATCGGCTGTCTCATATTGGCTAGAAGATGAGGAATCATGTCGGCGGCCTGAAGCATCTGGGTGGGAGCGGGACTCCTGGGGTGACCCGCGCGGGTGGAGGGAGGAGCGATCTGGGCGAGATGGGCGAGAGGGAGTGGCGCGGTGCCTCTGGTCTGAGTGAGAGCGCAGGCCATTCTCAGTGGGAGAGGACGATCTGGGATACGACATATCTAAGAAAGAATGAAGGAATAACACTAAACTGCACAGGCAGTGAGTGAAGGTATCATAAAGGATTGTATTCAATATCAATGTTAGACAATTGTCGCCTTACTCCAAAGGAAGTCCATCAGCCAAGGTGTCCAAAGATTGCTTCTTTAGATTTTAAACTAGAACTACCAGGCCAACGTAATTAACAAGTAAAGGGAGTTAATGTACACCAGTTAGCACAGTGAAGTAGGGATGAAAATTTTGGTAATTTCAAATTTTTTTTTAAACAGATAACAGACTTTAGCAATTAACTGACAAGCTTAAAATCAAGGACTCATCATGCCACTATTGTTTTAGACATTTTTAAGTGACAACGTAAAACACTCCTTTTTAATTGAGCTTACAATTGACAAAATGCTTTTTCGTTCATTTATTTATTTTATTTTTTTTATTTGATCCTTTATTTCTTCTAATTATGATTCCTTGTTTAAACTGTTTTTTTCTTTTTCTTGCTTTTTTAATTTATTTTTTAATTTATTCTTTTATTTATATGACCTCCCTGTTCACGGCCTTTGGCTGTCTACTACTGTTCCTTTGATCTTCTGCACCTTCATTTTAAATTATTATTAATATCGCCCCATTTTTGCTTTTTTGATTACATTTTTGAGCTGCATTCTAATGTATGAAAGGTGCTATACAAATAAAGACTATTATTATTACTATTATTATTATTATCAAAACATCAGTAATAAAACAGATGGTTCCTGTTCTGAAATCTGACTGGCTGAGTCACATTTAAAACCACTGTAAAATACTTCACACTTAAAAGCATGCACATAAACTATATTCTGTATTAATGCATAAAGATATTAAAAAGTGTGCCAATAGCATGGGTTCAAATTCAGGCTTCAAGCTGGCTGCTGCTATTGTTTTTAGCTGTGCAACATACTTTTTTCTATGTTTAGTGCGTCATACAATGTCAGAAACCACATAGGCAAGCCTATCTGACATTACTTTAAAACTCTACGCAGTTTCTGGTGAAATGTGTGATGAGTTACGACTACAGTTTGCATGATGCTAACTGGGGGGTATAAGCACCAACGCAAAATGAAAGTAGCTAACTTTGGATACCAAAATCAAGCCCATACTTGGATAGGAGAAACTGTGAACTCCTATAAAGCAATAACAAATTCTCTACTAGGTTTTTACATTATTATTTTAAACTTTTCTATCATAGGGACTGTGGAAGCTATTTTAAAGTGAATTTGGAGATTTTTTCCCCCTGCATGGATATACACTTGCTGCAAGCCAACCTCTAGTTTGGGAGACAGATGGTGCGCTATGCTTTTGGAAGTTGGCCAATACCATAAACCATTTTCCTGAGTGAAAGTTGCCCTCAGAATGCCCTTCTGTAGAGGAGAGTGCACGCCTCTCTAATCACACAAAGAAAAGCTAAAAGAAAACCACCTTAATATCCTGTGAGCTGTATCACTATTAAAATACTATGCAAGAGCTGAAATATATTCAGGATGCATATGCAAAGGTAACTATTTGATAGTGGATCACTGATTAAATCTGCTTAAGATTTCTCGGTTAAAACTTAATTTGTTAATGAATTAGCAGTTATTAACTGCCCACTGGAATACAAGTAAAGCATATTTTAAATTCCTGTACTGGTCTCTCTTACAGTGAGAAGCAGCCAAATGGATAGACTGTTACATACTTTTGCTACATTATTTTTAAGCCTATTTTTTGTCTGAAGCCGTTTTTAAATGCTTCCAAGTTTACTGTTTTCCAGTAGAGTTTATTAAAGGCTACGCATGGTTTGTAATAGTTACTTATATTTTTGATGGGAAAATCTCTGATTATTAGATTAATCATCAAAATGTTCTGTAGTTCACTGAGTAAACTTCACTTGTTTACTAATAATACCAATTTTGACAGCCCCATTTTAGATATGACAAAAATTCTATTCTTAATATGCTGATTTACTGTATTTGCTTTTTAAAATGAGTTTAATGGCTCAAGCAGGAACACGCAGGAACAGTCTAACCAGACAGAATGTCTGATAAAAACCAAAAAGCCCAAAAATCGGCTTATGGGGTTGTCATATGGTGCTGGAAAGCTCACAGAGCCAGAGGCCATGGTGTTAGTGCTTTCTCATTGACGTTACTGAGGGGAAGTGCAACACGATTTAAACACAGTGATGTTCTGGGCACCTATAGCTTTTCATTAATATGTTCATGTACTGCCACCAGACAGATAAACTACTTATAATATCATTTGCATTTGGAGAAACAGATTACATTCCAATTTTTTCACAAAACTGCTAAGTATATAAATCCTTTACCTGAATTACTAACTTCTAAAAACTAAAATGAAAGACATACTAAATAAATATTATACAGTTCCTACAAATATTACATCAAAAGGACTGACTCAAACCATAAAACACACTGGGCTAGATCCATAAAACTCAGTGGTAACCTTGCTGTGCCGTGCAAAATAGGAGGCCTAATAATTACAGAGGAATTCCACCAATTTTTGTAAAAATTCTGCACAATTAAATCAAAGTGGTTTGAAATGTGCTATTCTAGAGAAACTGTTAACAGTGGTGGTGATAGGGAACCAGACATCTGACGTGTTTAATGCCTCTTCACGTAATAACTTTCTGTGATGTAATGGTTAAATATGTTACCTAATGTCTGAGACATTGTTTAAGGAGAGGTTTGAGAAGCTTTTGGATTAAAATGTAATTTTTAAAATCCATTTAAGCATTTAAGGCAGAGAGGTACATGCACGCAGTTGTGCGGCAAAACAGTCCCCGAAAAAACGTGTTTCAGACTCCAACTTAGACTTTGCTAAACTAAACTTATCTGGACTGGGTGATTTTGACAACCCTACTACTTATTATCACCAGGGGTCTGGTGGCTTTCGCTGAAAAGCAAAACTGTCAACCAAAAAAAAAAACCCTTGTTTTTTCCGTGGTGTATCATTGTATTATCTTAGTTTAATGTTGTTTCAATGTATTATGGTCCTTTTCTTCATAACAATCATAAAAAATTGCTAGTAATGTGCTAATGTCTTGGTAGCTATACAGGTAAATTTCCTGTTCCTCCTTAAATAGCGCAGTTCCATTCTGGCGCCTCAGGCATCAGAACAGCTGCACCATTTAAGGCAGAACAGGAAAATTTGAACAAGAAGCTGGCGAATAGCTGACTTCAGCTATATATCAACAAAAAATAAATAACTGTCACATCCTCCCTCTTTGAAGGCATATGATGCTCTAAATGTAACTAAAGCTGTACCCTCCTATGCTGTCACTGCAGACTGTCAGGGTTGCCTACAGAGCAACCCTAGTAGCCTGTTAATGAAGTGATGTTCTTTTTTATTTGAGGGTTGTCCCATTTTGTAGGGGAAGATTTCAACCACTACCACTTGTAACTCAGTTCCAAGGGGCAAGATGACACTCGAAAACAAGGGGTAGGGGTAAAAATAAAAAACAGGATTGGTCCTTACTCTGCTAGCTTGTGCTACACATCGCTAGCTGGCAGTTAGCTTGATAAACAAAAGTTTTCCTGTTGGACTGACAAAAACCACCGCACAGAAGCACATGGTTTCATGAAGAGCTAAAAGTATCAGTTATTAAAATGGCTTAACCGTTTTAAAATATTTTCGAATTCGTTTTATTAAATCTTCATTGCAGCCGTAGTCCTAATCAAAAACGTACCTATTAATGAGCGAACACATAAATGACCAGTTCTGAGCAAAGGCATGTTTCGGTGCCTAAATGGACAAACTACATCAAAGAAAAACAAAAATCTCAAAATTAGAGCTACAGATACTAAAACAAGCAGAAGCACCTGCACATAGACATCCTATACGAATAAAAAGTCATCTATGTTGCGGTGTACATTTTAGGACTTCCTCAGACCAAAGCATTAGGATCAGGCTAAGCCGCCACAGACAAAGGACTCTGGACAGCAAAGATCATGACATTCGCAATTTTGTTCTGTTTACAAGATTAATTACAATTTTTGTGGCCAAACTGAAGATGACAATATACTATAATAACAACTTTTACTAAACTGCCTCATTATTTTTTTTCATTCCACAAAGATCAGATATTAACTCATATGCTATCACTGTCCACTTCAGTGTTGGGGACAATTGCAAAATTACTAGAAGAAAAAGTGTGTAAAATCTATAAATAGAAATAAAAAAAAACAAAAGGTAATGCAAAAGACCAGGTTAACCATTAACGGTGGTTATGTTAAATACAATTACCTGTTACCATTGCAGGCCTATTTGATCATGACAGAGCAGCAAAATTATATCTCTACTTAATTTCAGTTTGTTAATCTGACTGCCTGAGCCACGTTCAGAGCTGCTGTAAGATAGTTGTGCTCATCAAGTGAAGTATTAACTCAGTATTATTGTGCCAAAAAGTAGTGCTTGCTGACTGCTGCTTAGCAGTGATTGGTTGTGTTGAATGATTCATTACTTTGGAGTCAATTAGTAGAGCATGGGCTACCATTACTTGATAGCTAATTCTGCCTCATAGCTCCAGTGGAAAAATACTAAAGAAGCAAACTTCAGATAGCAAACATGCTATGGCTGATCAGCTACATTTAAAAATTTTGCAAGACTTTTGCAAAAAATAATCCCTTTTGAAGTCTAATACTTTCTAAAAATAAAACAAAATCAATCAGTGTGCAGATGGCTGTGCAAAGAATTTATATGATCTTCTGAAGCTCTAAATAGCATGCAACTGTGCAATACCTTTGTGTTGGAAGGAGTCTGGTCTGCGATGACCTCGTTCACTCTCCCTCCTCTGTCTCTCTCCTCCTCCCTGTGAAGACTCTCTGGAAGACTCTCTCAGTCTGCCTGGGCTTTCAGGAAGCACTTTAACTGGGGAGTGGAAGGAATGGGACAGTAGAGACAATCATTTTATATCATTGTTTAAAGGGCTCATGTCATAGAACATTGTCTTTTTTTTTGGAAACTGAAACAGAATTCTTTCTTTGTGTGATGTCACAAAAACCAATGCATTTACGTTTATCCACCTACTTAGTCTATAGCAGGTAAGCCCCACCCATTCATGCTGAAGCTATAAGTGAACCTCAGGGTTAAAAAGCACTACTAATTATTCAGCTGCTTCAACTGCAAGTATATCTGTATCTGCGCCCCCATTTCAATCCTCACTCTCATAACTGCATAACTTAGATATTAGTTTCATAGTAGTTACTGACTTGATTTTCATTGTTACTTATTACTTACTAAGAAGTCTTACAATTATTAAGTAAATAATAAGCTTGTAGGTTAAAGGAATAAAAAGATGTGAGGTGTATAAATGAACCAAGTCTTACGCCGATTGGCTGATTGTAGTGGTTGTTTATGAGATCCCTGATTGGTCCGCAGGGAGCCAGCAGGCTCTCTCACTCCGTCAAGTTTCTTTGACCCTGAGAGCGGAACGTCGGCTACTGCCACACAGAAACACAGAGAGAAGAAACAAATCAATATTAAAGAGTTTCACTGTTCTTAATTTTCGCAAATGGCTGAAACATCAGTCAGAATCAGTAGTTTTGGAGCTTGTAGGCGAATCAAAATAATCACACTTAAAGGGAAGGACTGTAAAAAGGATCATGTTAGAATTACATTTAAAAATTTCTGGAATGACTCACTCTTTAAGTATCAAACATTCAAAAGTGTTTCCTCAAACAAGAGAATAACAAAAACACACTGCCATTTGTCATTTTATTTTAAGAGAAACACTTTACATTTCTGCTAAAATGACCACACAACTGTACACTACGCTACATTACCAACTATGCATTTTCTTACTTAACCTAAAAGCCAATTTACAACTAAAAGGCAGCAAATCACTTAGCTGTCGAATCAATAATCAGATTTTACATTGAGAGTTTACACTGCACTTTCTGAAAAATTATCTTTACAAAAGTCAAAGCTCACCCACATGAAAGATTTTTGCTTTTACAGAGTCACACTAACTACAGGGTCTTAACTTCCATTTGCAGAAATATTGATTTATTATCAGTTTTAACGATAATAAAGAAATAAGCAAACAATATTGTGCAAAAGTCAGGGACCGCCCTTTTGTTTATTCAACTTTTAGTCAAAAAGGCCATTAACTACAAGTTCTTCATTTTCCAGTGTCAGAAAAAATAAAAACACGAAACCTGTTCAAAAGAAAACTGCACAAAAGCTTGCAACATTGAGTATAATTTCAAATCTGTATTAATTAAATCAGTATTTAATTTGTCCACTCTTTACTTCTTCTGCACCCTAATGCCACTTTAACTCTTCCATCTTATGAGGAGATAAGGTATGAGATAATCCACTTGCATGAGGAAGGGGAAAGTCAAAAGAAAATAAGTGAAAACAGAAGAGTTTCCAAAACTGGAGTTCAAAAGTGATTAAAAGATGCAGAGAAATTGAGACTTTACAATTGTGCAAGACCTGGAAAACCACTAAAACTATCCACATCAGATAAACAGCACTTAAAGCTTTTCATCTTTGAGAGGGGAGAAAATCAAGCTCTACTCTTGCCTCCGATCTGAAAAAATCCACAGCCATCCTTCACAACTCAAGACTGTAGGTCTGAAAGGATGTGTAGCTGTCAAAAAGGAAAAGACATAGACAAAAAAGAAAAACATTTGCACTAGTACACTGAAAACGGACACCTGAGATCATGTGGAGTAAAATTTTATGGGGTTACGAGTCTAAATTTGGACATAAGGATGTAACAGAAGGCAGTATGTATACTGCTGGAGCAACTAAAGACTCTCTGAACTGTATCTACAACCATCAGTGAAGTGGTGGAGGATCAGTACAAATTCTAGGGATGTATAACAATATCTGGAGCTGGTGATGTGTTTCCATATTACAGCAAATCAAGATGGTGTTCTCAAAACAATGGACTGGTCATTCCAGTGCCCAGATCATTGAATATATTTGGTACTTCGATCATGAGATGCAGAAATACATCCAACCAAGACTGAACTTCGGAGGTGTGTAAAAATATCCCTGCAGATTTCTTCTGAATACTGAAAGCAAGTCTTGTGAAAAGAATGGAAGCTGTAATAAAGACAAAACTTGGACACAATAAATACTGAAAAAGTGACATTATATTAAATTGTTGATGTTTCTGTTTTGCACAGTACCGTAAACAAAGACATAAATAAATGCAATTAGCCAACTGACAGAATTTAAGATGACCAAGAACAATTAGTCAAGATATATAAAAGACAGATAAAAGCTTTTCAAGCAAATCATTTTCCCTTCAATGCATCTTGAATAAGAAAAGAGCAAGAAAGACTAAGATCAAACACCACATGACTGGTGGCTGTAAGGCACTGTTATCATCATGACATCTATAATCTGTGCTGTGTGTGCCATGTCTGTAAATTTCCACTGAGGAGAGAGGACAGTCATATGTGGATAAAAAGGACAGACTGTGAGCTGGCCCAGATGTTGAAAACCCACAGCCAGAGCCAGCGATGGGTGACCAGGCTGAAGAGGGATTACTGTTTGCTGAGAGATGAGAAGCAAAATGAATCTAGCTCTGCTTTTCCAAAGAAACAGAGAGAGAGAGAGAATGGGTGGGTGAGTCAAACCTTTTTGACAAACCACCATGAAAGTCTTTAACCATGAAACTTCCATAAAAGGCAACCATAAAATCAGCCAAAAGAGAACTTAAAAGAGGCATAAACCAGAAATCCAACAGAAACAGACAACTAATATAAAACAAAAGGGTACATAAATTCAAATTTGACCATAAATATCTCTCCAACAGCCGTGAACTACACATAAAATTACCAGATTATTCCATGCGTGGAAAAAGAGATTTTTTCCCCCAACAGCTGGCCTGCACTTGGCAGGTACACCATGTTCACCGTTGACCTGCTCCTGTTACATTTAGACAAATCCCCCTCACATCTGCCCAAATGACTCTTTTTCCCCCTCCGTTCTTCTTCCATTACTTTATCTCAACATGCCTCGGTGACGTTTCTGTGACAAACTCGTTCATGATGCACAAAAGTAACCCCTGCGATGAGCTGCACTTCATCAGCCTTCGCACTTCTATGTTTACACTCTTGCTGACAGGCAACGAGCCTGCCTGAGGCAAAGCCTGACGGATGGATTTGCTTTTAAAGGAATAGTTTGGCACAAAATTTCATTTACATAATTTCCCCTTACCCCAAATGTAGTCAATCAACCATGGAATGTCTGGCGTCTGAAGTTTGCTGCTTTAGGTTTTGTACTAATTTAGCTAACAATTAACGGAAGCTTATGTTCCCACCAATTAGCATGGTGCACACTGCACGCTTAGAGGGGGATTCAATGGTTAAGATCTAAACAAAGTCATTCAGAGTGGTTTGCCAAGTCAGACTTGTTCACTGTGGCGGTGATAAGAACCAGACGTCTTCTTCTAAAAGCTCCCTCACAGAACATTATCACATGAAACTGCCTGATAACTGTAAAATTGCTTTATAATAATTTTAAGAATGTCTTTGCCAAGGTGTATTTTTTAAATTTATGCTGGGTGGAGACTTACATGCATTACCATAATTTTATCATCAGCATTACATATGAAACTCAGAAGACACATGTAGGTTCACTGGATAATAAATAAAATGGCTATATTTGTGTTGCAGATATCATGACCCCTCGTTCCTATCACCACTGGCATGCTCGACAAGCTCCTCTACAATGAACAATGTGAATTTAAAAATTACAAGCTATTTGCCAAAAGTTTTGGATGTTTTATTTAATATTTCAAGAATTCTGAGAACAATAACTGAATACTTTTGAAATATGATGAACTGTGGATATGACCTCTATTACTAACTTCACGATCTACAGCTATTTTAGTCACCTAAAAATGTCCTACAGCTCTGTTTTCTTGCATTATTCTGGACATAGCTAACATTTCTTAATCTTTATTTGCAGCTTCCTACTGTCCTAAGTATCTGAAACTTGTGAAATTGCACAAGACAAGGATCATTTTATACACTCATCTGAAACCAAACTGCATTCATATTCTTGAAAACAGTGATTATAAATGTGTAAACAGCGAATTAAAACTTTTGAGCGTAACTGTATGTGGTTTCTGATGATGTATGAAACACTGTTAACCACAAAAATAAACAGAAGAACACGTCACAGCATAAAAACAGTAGCAGCTGTAACATCTGGAAGCCTCAATATTGCCCATACTTTAGTCCATTTCACAGTTTGTTAACATGTTAACACTATTTGTAGCAAGCGTGTAATGATTTAGGCCTGCAGTTTGCACAAAGATAACACTGTGTACATAAGATACACCAATCATTTCAGAACCATTAGCCTACTGTGTTTGCACATAGAGGAATTAGACATCTGTATTTAACCCACCCGTGCAGTGAAATACCCACATAAATGCATACTAGTGAACACACACACACACTAGGGGGCAGTGAGCACACTTGCCCCTGGGCGGTGAGCAGCCCTATCCATGGCGCCCGGGGAGCAATTGGGGGTTAGGTGCCTTGCTCAAGGGTACTTCAGTCACGTACTGTCAACTGAGGCGATCTAACCGGCGACCTTCCGGTCACAAGGCTGGTTCCCTAACGTCCAGCCCACGTCTTGGCTGATCGACTACATTTGCAGTAAGAGGGAAAAAAACCTAAATTGAATTTTTCAATAAACTATCGTTTTAAACTCCATGGAGGGCATCTGAGGATGAAGAAAGGAGGAGGGAGCGGGAAAAAAAAAGCATTTTCACTTTGATAAACCGCTGGCGTGTGAGCAGGCCGTAGAGGCGCTTCAGAGTGCCTGCCAGTGCCTCTGCTCAGCAGAAAAAAAGCGCAATGCCAAGCGAGTGTGCTGCTGCTGCGCTGAAGCAGCGAGCTCAGCAAAGCGTGAGTAACAAAGCTGGCGCTGCACGCCCATTAAATATCCATTCGAAAAAGTACCGAAGGCACGGGTCCAGTCGCAGCAGATTTTAAGATGTTTCTGAGAACACCAGAGGCTTAACCACAACAAAAGATCTAAAGAGACCAGCTGGGTTAAAATATACCTCTGTAAGGGAGATTTATTTGGGGTAGGGCTGCACAAGATGGACAAAACACAAGTATTGTGATTACACCTTGCAGTATTTTGGTGAATCGGTAACCTAACATGGTCAAAGAAATGATTATTTACTTTTGTTGGGTTACATGAATACTTTTATCCATAAAAACACCCACAGAAGTAAAACACAGTACAGAAGATACTGATTAGTTAGAGGCTCATTTGCATATTGTAGCCTCACTACTGCAAAGGCCAATATCATTATAACTGTTACAAATTATTTATTGTGCAGCCATACTTTTTGAGTTTTACCACATCTTTGGAATACTGCTGATGGTAACACGGCATCCGTAAGAGTGGAAAACAATTGGTAAAGGCTGAACGCTCCCATCGTCAAGGTCAATCAAAG